GTGATTATCCGTCTTCCTATTCCTGTCATCGACAGGCCCTCAAGTTCTAGTTGTTTCTTCGAGCAGACTAAACTTACTCTAAGCGTATTCTCACCCGATTCTATCTCGCATTCCTTTTTTTTAGGTTAGCGATATGTCCTTGATCCAGGCATATCTTTTATATGGGTCGTGTATCCTTGTTTTCTCCGAGTTTGCTTGATAAATAGACAAAGTTATCACAAACTATGTCTTCTTCCAATCCCATATTCCTTAAATTTCTTTCCTCAAGGATATCATCAACTTCCATAATCTTCCTTTTCTCTGTGTCTTCACCATATGGAGCCCTTTTTGTTGCTTTTCAATTGCTATCGTGTCCAGTCTGTGCAATGTGTTCCGCTATTTCCGATCGTTCGGTATACACTTTATTGCAGAGCCTTTTTATGTTCCTTGATTCGTGTGCTGCTTTTTCTCCCTGCTTCGCTCGTATATATCTATTTCCATATGCCGCGTGCTATTCAGTAAACTCCTATTCGTCTACCCTATTGTGTTATGTGGGTAGACCTGCTGAGCGGTGTTTTATCCTTCTGGTCACCTGTATATTCAATTTTTCTAATGTTGGCTGTAGTTTTTAAGTTAGCACGTAGAATGGCAGACATATTTTTTTGAGTCTTCCATCCTTATTTTATTCCATAATCCCTGTCCAGCCATCCGCTTTTCACGGCTCAATTTTTCTTTGTCTTACTTGTCTCGAGTGTCTTTTGTCAAGGGACATCCAATTCAATTTATCCACTTCTTCCTCCAGGAATTCCACATTCTTCTATCGTAGGCTTCTGATGATCATCCTCATCATTTTGATCTTCAGTTTGTTGTTGTGATGGGACTGGAACTTGAGTATTATTTCGGAATATGACTCCTTTCTGAACAATTTTTTCTTGAGGGCCCCATTTGAGTTAATGACCTCAACATCCAGGTAAGATAAACGCTTCTTTATTGTAAATTTAATACTTATTCTTCAATCTTATCTATTAAATTCAGGAAATCATCCAATATTTCTATTCTATGCGGCTTAAATGGACAGTAATGATCCAAGTACTGCATGAGCACTCTTGGATGCAGTGGTGACGCCTTGAAATTCTCTTCTAATTTGTTCATATATAAGTTTTTCTTAAATAAGTCCAAATATTTGTTCTTAGATTTTGCCTTTGAAGGTGAAGTAAGTAGTCCATATTGTTAAATTTATTAGTTGTGTTAAAGACTCATGCTCTTCTGCCTCCGGGTTATCCTATTCTTAGTC